ATTGAGGGTACCATGGACTGCTAGGAAAACAAATAGATTCATCCTGGAAAGGGTTAAACTGGATGGCTCCTTGGAGGCAAGGATTCTGAGGCTCTGTCTAACATACTTTGGACATGTCAAATCATATCTGACTGGGCAGGAGGAGATTATCCCTCCTTCTCCAGCAGAGCATCTGATGGATTTGAACCGTGCACCTGTGGGATTGCAGTGCAGCTTTTTGCTACTAGACCGCCAGAGCTCCTCAGCTATGCAATCCTTTTGAGATTTCATTTTAGTGATCAACCTCAGGCTACAGTACAGCTCTAAAGTCAAAGTTATCTTTATTATTACCACAGCATTTCTATTTCTACTACACATCTTCTCTATTCTCTCCCCCCCCCCCACAAAAAAGACACCACCAAAATACCACAATAAGACTTTCAGAATATTCTGTAGAAGCAGACAGTAGCTCATATAAGGCCTGGAAAAGAAATAAATTTCAATGTGTTAATTCTGCATTTTTTTCTTAGTATGGAATCTTGAAACTATGTTTGCTTGTGATAGGGATCCATGACTATTTTAAAGATAATGTTGAGCTGATTCCTCTGCTATCTGCTCCTAAAGGAAACATACGTATGAGTGAAAGGAGGGAAGTAGAGGTTTTATTACTTTTCCAGTACCTGTATATTTCCAGAGTCTCACCCTCCTTCTCTTGGTTTTAGAATTATGTCCCAGGAAGTCCAAGCGCCAAAGAGGTACAGGTTGAGGTAGTGGTGGTGGTGGTAGTGGCAGTGAGATTCACAAGGAAATTAATGGACAAGAACTGAGAGGAGTCTTGGGGACAGAGTCTGTGAAATGACTGGAAGAATGACTGGTGATAGTTCAATATCTGCTGATTGAAGAGAATTGTCTGAGAAAAGAAAGCTCTGCTGTCATAATAAAGATGACAGAACTTTACAGAACAGCTCTACTCTGCCTCGTAGGGTTGCTGTGAGCCAGAATCCTTTCAACGTCACACAACCACAATAAAAGGATATAGGTGTCAGACTCCCTCTCAGATGATCTATGTGATTAATTACAAACTAGTCTCTTCCATCAGGACACAGGCTCTTTGAGAAATCTGAGTGGAAGTAGATCAATTAGTTTCTACATTTTTTAAATTAAATTTTATTAATTTTAATGAACATTTACAGAGATTTTGGGTTTCCATTCATTCATTGTTGCACTATTTTCTCTACCCTCCCCCCAGTTAGTT